GTAGCCATGTGGAACCTTGTCCTGAAGGCCCGTGGCTTCTTCTGCCACTAGCTCATTTGTTGGAGGCTGAATTATTAGTAGAAAATCTTCATTCCCTTAAAAATCTAGTTCACAGTAGCCATGTCTAGATCTAGCAGTCTTTCTTTCATGTATTTGGGTGCTTCTTAGTTGAATGAGTATATTTTTTTTTATATTACATTTAATCACATATATGCTTTTTTCTAGACCTTTATTATTTTAATTTTTTATTTATTTTTATTTCATTTTCTTTTATACATTCAATCACACGTTACTCAGCAATCTTATTCCTTGGTACCTACCCAAAGGACAGAAGAATTCTTAATCAGAAAAGTACTTGCACATCAATGTTTATTGTGGCATTGTTTATAATTGCTAAGACATGGAATCAACCCAAATGCCCACGAACAGATGAATGGATTGAAAAAGTATGGTACATATGTTCTATGGAATACTACTCAGCCATTTAAAAAAAAAAAGCCAAGATCCTGGTTTTTGACAGAAAGTGGATGAATATGAAAGATTTATTGCTGAGTGAAGCAAACCAGGCTATGAAGGAGAAACATTGTATGTCTCTACTTATTATATACCAAGTGTCCACACTTTATGGCTGAAACTGAATGACTAAAGGTTATAGAAAATTAGTAAATTGTTGTGAACACCAGATACAGTGTGAGAAGAGGGTGGGTGAAGGAGTAGAGTCTGAGGAAGGACTTTAAAGAGAGAAATAGAGAGGCAAGGCATTAATGGGACAAAGAAATCACATATATCTTCATAGTGTATAACATTTCTTTTGCAGCATGATTACCATGCATATCAGTCAAGACAAAGATATTAATATATGCAGCAACAGCAGCAAAAAGCTTTTCATTTTTTTGTCAATTAAATGTATTTCCCCCCATTCCTCTCCTTTCCTCCATTACCCTCTCCATATTACCCTTATCCTAACTATCTCTAGTATCTACCATTGCCCTTCCAGCTACTATATCCTCCAAACTTTTAATTTC